CCCACATAGAGTTACTTGTTCGTTAAAGATGGCTTCTTCTTTGTCCCAGTCTTCTTGTTTTGCAGTCTTTTCTTGTTTCTCATAGTTCCAAATCTCCATTTCTAAGAATTGAAAAACGAAGCCAAAGGAACCCTTCCCTTCTTGTGCCTCTTCTTTGTACTTTTTAAGTTCCATTTTCAATTCATTTCTAAGAATTGAAAAATGAAGCCAAAGGAACCTTTCCTTTCTTGTGCATCTTCTTTGTACTTTTTAAGTTCCATTTTCAATTCATCGAAAAGTGATGCCATTGTAAAAAAATTTAAACAACCACCCGATTGATTTTAGTCATTCAAATATAATAGCCAAAAATCCAAAAGTCACCAAGTAATCCAAATACACACAAACTGTTTCTTTTTGCTCTCTTTTCCCCACTTTCTCTTCCCGGGGTTACTATTTAGTTGCAGTTTCAGTTAAAATGTATCTTTTAGAAGTCTTATTGAAGTTTTACTTTAGATTCTTTTAAAGTCCAGGCAGTCTCCTCCCTCTTCCAGATCCTGCCCTTATTCTTTTTCTCTCCCTTCCTACTTATAGAAGAAAAAGTTTTTAATGTCCAGAAATCTTTATTGTCTCTTTGGCATTTAGTTATATTTTCAGCTCAATTGCCTGTTGATGCCAAAGCGGATTTTTCCAATTTCTTATTCTTAATTGTCAATATAAGGAAGGAGAGAAAAGAAAAAAAAAGCCAAACCTTTCCCTTTTCACTTTCTTTCGCTGCTTCCAACTCTTCTTTGGGAGCGATGCTATTTCTTGTAAAATTTAAATTCCAGGGTACCTAAGTTATTGTTTTTTCAACTTAGTCCGGTCAGCCAAAACTTTCACTTCTTATCTTCCTCCTGCACGTTCTTTTCCAGTTGAGTGCTTCTTTGAGGTGGCCATTTCTGACCACCGCTCCTACCGCCTTCGGGAAAGGGAGTTTGACCAGCTGAGGAGAGATGCAGCTCTCCTCGACCCTGCTGGCAGTCTCCCCCTTCTTCACCACCTCTACGGGGTGGCTTAGCCCCAAAACCAGCTGGCTCGGGGCGCTCCAGCGGCGAGCCCAGGCAGAAACCGCGCACAATCACGGAGTCCTGTCTGTCGCCGAAGCCCTTCAAACCGGAAGTTTTCATTTTTGAATGCCCTTACCTTTAGGAAGTTTTTCTGACACTTCAACTGGAAAATGTCTTCTGGTAATTTTAGACCAATTATTTCAGGTTCTTTTTCTTTGGGACAACTAAGAACAGATTATGACCATTTATTAGCATACTCCAAATATCACAAGGGATAACAATTATAACTGTCTGTCACTTTTTGAAAACAACATTTACTCACTCTTTATTATCGCCCTGTAGACCCATTTTTACTGCCCTGATCATCTTTATATATCTGTTTGCACTTGTTCCAGTGTATCTAAACCTTTTAAGTGCACAGAAAAGGATACAGAACTGCACTATTATTTGTGAGATCTGAAAATTATATTCTACTGAAGCAATATGAAATGTTTTTCTTTTGCAGCTACATTACTGATTGATATCAATTCCACTTCCAAGACCCATTTTGCACATACTAATGCTGTGCCAAGAGTTCCTTATCCTGCTCTGGTGAATTTGAGTTTTCTTAAATAATGACATGTTTCTATATTATAGAATATTAGCTCTCCCTCCCAGTTTCATTTCATTTGTAAATTTAGTGAATGTTCAGTCTATCTCTTTGTTCAAAATAATTGCCAAAATGGTTGATGTGTTCCTAGCTGAGGACTTAACCCTGCAGCCCTCATTTTGTACTTCACTTCTGGTTTAGTTTTAAGGACCTGCTGTTAGCCTCCTTAAACACTACACCTAGTTCATACTTATCTAGTGTATTAATAAGAATGTTATGTGATAGTTTAAATGCTTTAAATGCTCAAGATATATATGAAATGTTCTCCATTCCCCTATATTATAACTGAATAAAAATATACCAAACCCCCCCCCCCAACCCAAAATAAGCTCAGTCTGACAAGATTTCTTGAAAAATCTATTCAGGCTTCTGCTGATTACATTAACATTTAAAATGCTGTTTTTGTTTTGAAACATAGTGAGTGATAAAACTTTTGCTGCTTGAGCCTCTTAGGAAGAAAATAATAAACAAAATGGGATGCTTAAAATTGTTCAAGATGTATTTCCCCTATAGAAGTTAGGGAAAATAAGAATACTAGATCTGAGTGTTCTTTTGGATATTTGTATTTAATGTAAAAGGTATACAAAGAAAAACATTTCAGGGATGACCTTTTTTCAAATGAGAGCCTGGACTTAGCCGTTTAAGCAACTCACCAACTGCATTCAAAGAGAGTAGCAAAATGTGAGTACATGTTAATAGTTTTTTTTTTTACAAATATTAAATATTTGGGTGTAATTTATTATCTGTATCGGAGTACAATCATTTTAGTAGTTAGTCACATTTTCCTTATTGGGGACTATACTTCTTACTTTAAAAAAAACCTTTGGGAATGATAGTAATGCAGAATTTTCAGCAGAGGAACTAAGGCTGAAATGCCACACTTTTGCAGTGGGTGGTGATAAAGGGAACTGTTTTAAATAGATGCATTATGTCTACAAGAAATATATTTTACAGTTTTAATTCATTAAAAGAAGAAATGCTGAGAAAAAAACCTGATTTTTGTACTGCTGAAATTCAACAATAGTTTTAGAGCTTGGGGACTATAAGAATTAAGTCATGACAGGCATATACCTGCTTGCCTTGATTAAAGCAGCATCGTACTTATGCATAATCATTAACATACTTTTGTGGTATATCCAAGTTCACAGAAAATAATCCTTTTCAAAAATGATTTGACCATATTATTTAAAATAAATACTGATTTCTATTATCTTGGAGCAGTATATTAACAATTGATGCACAAAAAGATAATTAGGGAGTTGGATACCTGTATTAAAGAGAAGTTAGAGGAAGAATGAAATATATAGAGGGTTTTAAATCTGCAAAAAAAAAAAGCAAAACTAATACTCTGCAAACATTTTGAGTTTGAAATGTTTTCATACTTGAAATAGCTTTTTGATGCTATTCTGATCATTCTGCAAAAGTTCCAATTTTGAAACTTCCAGGTTGTTGGAACATCACCAGACTTCTGATAAGGTTAGGATTACTTATTTAAAATCTCAAACATTTTACATACATGTAATCAGAATTAACATTCTTTATGGAATAAAGAAACTTGAATAGAGATAGCCCCATCTCAGAATTAAAACCCTGAGAGGCAGGATATTTAGGGCAGGTGACTGGGTTTATATAATTCTCTCTATTCTAGAGTTGTACAATATACTGAAATACAGTATAAACTAATCAAATAGCCTGGTTTGGTTAAGTCATGGTGACATTAACCATGGCTAAACATTAGCATGTGTGAATGCAATCATTAGATTTTTAACACATTGCATTGTAGAATTTGCTTCCATGAGATTTGTGAGAGCTATCATTTTATATTACCTGGAAAAGAAATTGTGCTGTTGTTGAAGATAAATCACCATTGGTTATAGTAACTTATGCTATCAGCAGACCTTGTGATGTAATTCTGAGTACATCCTCTCCAACTAAGGGCACCACTGATTTCTTCTTGTGCTTTTGTTTTCTGGTATGTATTATGTACACAGAATATTGTACAGTTGGTCCATTAAGACAGATAAAACAAAGATTATACAGTGACTGTCATGGGGTGAACATTCACCTACTCAATACAATACTTCTGAAGCAATACACCATTGATGACCCTCTCCCAAATCCCAAGAAAGACAACCAGTCATAATTTAAGAGCAGTTTAAATGGTAGACTGCAGTTACACTTTATTAGAAATACAGCTGTAATGTTAGAAAAACATACCTTTACCTAAACATACCTAGTTTATTTGAAAGTCTCATGCTACTTTACATTGTTAACTTTATATTTTTTCCACCTAACATAGCTTTCCTTTAGAGCTAAACTGATTTATGCATTTCAGACACCATTACCATGTAATAATCTCTTAATCCTCTCAACTGTACTCAAAAATCTGTCAATTCTGCCTAACGCCTTGCAATTTCCTTACTAAAAAAAATGTGACTGGCTTGCATGTCCATGGATACAATCCCCTTAGCTCAATCCATGCTTCTTGATAAGATTACTTAATTGTACTACTATATCTCTCAAATCTATTCCTTTCTGCCAGGTACCTGCCTGAAAAGCCTATGATTAAATACCATTGCAATTTTTTCAGTGACAGTTAATTTACAGAGTTTCTTATGCACAGAAGAGAACAAAGCCAAAGAAAAATTGTAATAGCCACAATACAGAAAGTTTAATACAACAACCCTCCCTCTTATACCCCAGTTTCATGCATGCTGTGAAAGATGTAACAAAAAAGCATTTTGCAATTTAAGTAGACCCGTTTCAGAACTTCATTTCTAAGAAAACTCATTTCTGTGGTATCAGGAATATGCTAATTATTTTGGTAGATTCCAGAAGGCTTACTAGACATTAAATGCTGTGTTCATATCCGTGGCTTTCATACACAAAGGTTATATTAAGAAAGTACTAAGTCAACTTTTGAGAAACACGCTAAAGCAAATATCCTACTACATAAATTCTATATTGAAGAGCAGTCTATGTACAAATTTAATGCTGAAGTCCATAAATTCAATTAACACAGGTTGATTTTCTTCATCTTTGATATCTTGTGTTACATTGTAGTGAGTGATACTTTAACCCATGCTGTGCAAAATATATTTCCAGGAGGAAATTGAGCACTCTTCATATAGTAAAGTAGTTTCATGCTATCTAGGAAAAGACAGGACTGAAACTAAATTAGGTTTCACATTCTTGAATTAGAAAAGAATCCTTGAAGTCTTAAACTTTATTATGCCAGTTCGTAACCACTTCCTGTAGCACAATTGATCACATTCTCTTTCATCAAAAGAACAGTTATCTGGATGGTGAAATCCATTAATCCACATTTCACAGGGTTAAGTGGAATCCTTTGTAAGCTGTACAAAATCTCACCAACTGAAAAGGACAACAGCAGTGGTCTCACTGTATTATGGAAGTATGTGCAGTGTGTTCCAGGATGAAGAAGACATAAACCAACAATTGGAAGAAAGATTGGATCTTTTAATCCTCTTTGTCCGTTGTCCTCAAAGCAGCGTCTTGTATGTATTTTTCCTTTAACTTATCACAGGAAAATATGCTACTTCTGTTCTCTTTTCCAGACAATCACCATGCCTTTGGCATCACTGGATGCCAAGAGACTCTCATCACAGTTAAAGCTGACATCCAAGACTGCAGCGCTATGTCCTTGAAGTTTGTTAACGATAGCTTTGGTAGCCCGTTCCACATCAAAGAAATACACACACATATCTTCACTTCCAGTCACTGAAATGCACAAAAATAAATGATTAGAATAAAACCTTCATTAAATATAGGCCTTTAATAAAGGAGGGGTCTTCAATTCCTTTTAACTCTGTATTAGAGGAAATCATGCGCAATGGAAAACATCAAAAGCATGGGGCTATAAGAAGCTGCAAAGAACTGGCTTTACTACATTCTTTTTCCAATTACAGAATGGCCATACAAGAATCATACCAATGCAAGCGCCTTGACGAAAAGACATGAGGGGGCAGAAAATGCTGTGGACAGGATGTGAGCTCTGTTGTATTTGGAAACTTCTCTTAAGCTGCAATGTTCCTTCATTATCCACTACCCTGTCAGGAAAAATAAAAGGAATGGTGTAAGCATAAATACATATATGCATAGATTACTCTTAAAATGGGATTTATTAATATTCTGCATATACAAATAAAGCACTTCTTTTGGCGCAAGAGCATCATACCTATATAATAATAGCTTGTTAATACATGCATTAATGAGGAGAGAGGGATCGCGTGCTTCTCTGCTGATCCAGGAACGAGCTGAGATACTGGTGATAGAACTTCCTTCATTAACTATGAGGCGCTTGGCTTTGGTCAGTTTTCCTGCAAAAATGAAATGAAGCAGAAACTGTCCGATCCAAACTGGGCTGCAGCCTGTCTCTGCAAGATCCTCTTGGAAACTCACCTGTTGCCATGTCAAAGAGGAATGAGAATATGCTGCCTTTGTCATCTCCTGCCCAGAGGATACGCCCAGGAGAATCAAAGGAGAGAGAGAGGACTCGGCCTGTTAGTTTGCTTGAGCCACCCTTCACTTTTTTCCCTGTTGAGATGTTCATCACATGGAGGTTGTGTTTTCCATTTCCCACCTGATGGATGGATAAATTATTTTTTGTAGCTTGCACGAAGTAAAATAGGAACCAGTAACATACAGGTAGTCCTAATAACTGGCTGCTTAGCAATTGTCTGAAGTTTCAAAGGACCTACCTGGGAGGTACTTATGACCTGGATTTGGAATTCCAATGATTAGGTTCCCCCCCCTTCCGTTTATGTGACTGAACTTTGGGGGTTCTAAAGCATCTACAGTCATGTGGTCACATTTTACGATGTTTTTGCCCCAAACCAGCGTTTACTTCACTTTCAGCCAAACCTCAATCATAGTGAACCATAGCTCACTTAATGACTGCTGCATTCGCTTAACAACTGTTGATTCACTTAAAGATCATGGTGATTCTCTTAATGACCACCACAAAACAAAGGTTGTAAAATTATGCTGGTCACGTGATTACAACTGTCACAAGTTATGATTGTGATGGCCAGGCTCCCTGTAAATGGAATTAGAATTGAAACTCTAATCCTTGCAACACCCCACCCCTATCTTCATAACAGAGAAGGATTAAGTTAGGGGAGGGGTAATTTAATGTTTAACTTTTTATAACTAGACCCCTTTTCTCTTCTGTCCCCTCCCTCACATTAGAGAAAAATAAGAATATCTTGTTCCTAGCATATTCCCACAGGTGCAGGGTCCGCTTTTCGGATCATTGAACGCCACTTTGTCCAGTCAGCTGTGTCATTATTTAGCTGTTTATTACTTAACTTTATGGGAATAAAAGTTGAGTAAATAAACTCCAGCTGAATGTAAGCTAGTGTTTCTGGAATGACAAAGGCCCAATATCTCACAATACATACTCAGGAGGGGGGGGGGGAAGTGTATCACTGTTACTTCACTCACCACTGTGAGATTATTATTCATAGGTTGAAAAGTACAGCAAAGTAGCTCAGAAGCATCTGGATCTGGGATTTCCCGGATACACTTGCCATCCTCTGTAGCCCAAATGCGCATTGTGGCATCAAGTGAAGTGGAAACTATAACGTCATTGGAGAGAGACCAAGCAAAGTCCGATACACCACGGCTATGTCCTTTCAACACTCGAAGCACCACAGGGGGAGTGGGTACTAACTGACACACCGAAATGGCGCCATCTAAAGAGCAGCAGGCTAGTAGGTGTTTGTCGTCGTTGGCAAACTGAACTTTGGGCACTGAGAAGGGGAAGAGAAAACCCATTAGATTGATACTGGACTATCTGGAGTTTTGTACATTATTCTGGATTTTTCTTATGCTATTCCTTCTTGCATCAACACCATTATCAAATTGATTGAGGAATATTTTGAGTCGTATAGTGGGACAAAGAGGGCACTCTGTTAAATGATCAGACTTCAATATCTTAAGCATGTACTTAGCAGCATCGATGGCCATCTTGATGTTAACCTTCCTCAACTAATGTGGCTACCGCTGAAGATTCTGGACAGCAATGGAAAGTTGGGCACAGCTATTACAAAGTCTATCTCAATATTCCATTTCACATAGTTCTTACTCTTATTCCCCCCCAAAGGCAAGAATCATAACCTCTTTTGGGGATAAGGGATTTGATCAGAACTTAGTATCAATCTTTCTTTTGCAAATAATAATATACATGCCCTGTCTGTGTTGACAGACAGAAGGAAAAGGCTTAGCAGAGCCTTTATTTATTTATTGAATTTATATTGCCGCCTATTCGCCCATGGTGACTCGAGGCGGCTTACAGAATGTAAAACCATATTTAAAAAACAAAAAACAATAAAAACTAACAAAAAGAATCAAATAAATTAATAAAGTACAATAGAACAAAATCTGGGGAAAAAAATCACCCCCCAACTCCCACCCCATGCCCCGACAACAGATCACACGAGCCATTTGATGGGCTCCATCCCACTCTGGGTTCCCCAGGACCACTGGCAGAACCAGATTTTCAGTGCCTTCTGGAAGAGTATTAGAGAGGGGGCCATTTTAATCTCGGGGGGAATGATGTTTCAGAGAGAGGGAGCCATCATGGAGAAGGCCCTTCTTCTGGGTCCCACCAGGTGTATCTCCCTCAGGGATGGGACCCACAACATTCCCTGCCTCCCCATTCTGATGGGTCGGGTAGATGTGACCGGCAAGAGACAGTCCTTCAGATAACCTGGTCCCAAGCCATGAAGGGCTTATGTGATTGATTGCTATATTCTTCCTCTACTCACCTGCTTCATCCACGTGCTGGTCAAAGATATGATACATGCCAGCAAAGGCATAGTTCTCACTTAGTGTAGTATCTCCAGCCATAGCACGACTAGCTTCTGCCACTGAAGTGGGGACAACACTCCCTGGTGATCTAAGGAAGAGAATAATATAAACTGATATAAACAGATCATGAACTTAATTTTCAACAGAAATGGGGCTGAGACAAGACAAAACTAAAGAACCTTTATTCTTTGATTAAATGCACCAGAGTGACAACATTGGCCATCACCAGCCTTTTCTGATTAAAACTTGAAAAAAAGTAACACGAGAGAAGTGAGCAGAACTGACAGGAACATGGGGCCTTTTTCTCTAGCTGGCGTTATACCTTTCATCGTAGACGGCTCGGTTCATTTGAGCTTGCAGCTGATAGGAACCTCGGCTGACAGAGCGGCGGTGGCCTCGGGCACCCAGTGCTCTTGGGTCATCATCAAAATCCTATTGTTACAACACATAATTTTTACATTTTAAGACAGAAAGTTCTTGGGGGACACAATGCAGAGGAACACTTATGTGAAGGGAAGAAATGGCCAAGCTTGTCCCTAGGGGATACTGGATTGGAAACAATAGCAATGAAACTTCAGTGCTATATTAGGTAACATGGTATTGACAAATTCTCTCTCATCCTTTCATCTCCCCAATTCTTGTCTATCCCTGTCAGATATACTGAACTGATTACCATCAGACTATTTATAACACAGATGTCAAACTCGTGGTGTCACGTTGCTGTCACGTGACATTTTGGGACGTTTTCCCCATTTGTGGAGCTGGGGTGGGCGTGGCCTGCATGTGACACATCCGACCCGTGGGCCACCAGTTTGACACCCCTGATTTGTAACATGCAAAAACCCGAGTACCTCCATGCGATCAAGTGTAGTGCGACTGCTTCGGACGATGCTGTTGCTGTAGGCTCGAAAGCTGCTCTGTTCTGAGAGTGGGCCGTAGCGCTGGGCCAGAAGCTGACTGCGTAGCCGCAGGTATTGTTTACGAAGCAAGGGATCGAAGCCTGCTTTAGCGTTATCCCGCAGCAACTGGCTTCGTCTGCGGATGTATTGTGTACGGAACTGAGGGAAATTTGGGGTGCGGTATGCGTTATATCTGCAAGACAAGATGATGCATTAGCTGCCAGAAACCTCAGCCAATAGTATCCTTGTTGAATTTAACCTTCTCTTTTGCTTAGCATCATTCTGAGTTTCCACTAATCGAGAGTGTAAAATTCTCTGCAGCACAAAGTCCTATGCTCATCTCAGTACTGTGCTGTAATCACATGTCAGTATGCATTTAAGTCCATTAAATGAAAAACACTGATTTAGAATAAAGTTCCTTCCTTACTCCTTCCCCATCAGGTAAATCTTCCCTCTCTCAAACAATAACAAATTGTTCTCAAAAATCAAGATGGCAGAGAGCTTTTTCCCCATTTCTCAGGTCATATCCTCAACGTTAATTCCTAAATTCATATTATAGTGCTAAACTATAATCAGTTCATAGGAATAAAATCTCAAGATTTATGAAGCTGTGTTCTCAATAATGTACTTCCCTGAACAGCAGCTAAGAACAACCTCTCCCGTACACTTGACTTATTTGTAAACATGTATGCTTGAACTGTATCTTGCATTTTTTGTTCAGAAGCTCAAGATACTACAGATAGTTCTCCCAATTCACTCCGTAATAACTATCCTGTGAGGTAGGTGGGTGGAGAGAGAACAACTAAGTCTATAGGAGGTTTCATGGCTCAAAGTACATGAGCCTGGGTCCCACTTGATGCCAATACAGCATCTTAACCATTACACCAGAACTGTCAAACTTGCATCATCAGGGAGACATCCCAGAACGTATCGCGACTTTTTCCCTTCGCTAAACCAGGCATGAGCGTGGCCAGTATGATGCACCCGGTTTGTGGGTCGCAAGTTTGACAGCCCTGCACTACACTATACTGGCATATTCCCTTTTCCTTGTTGTTCAAGCAACCTATATATCCAACCTAGGAGCCTCACCGTGCATCTACAGCCAGCACTTGTTGCCACACTGCTGCCATGCCCCACACCGCCACCGGCCGCTCAGGAGAGCTGGTAACTGGGTGCCTGCAGTCAGAAGAGTACAAAGAACTTAAGGGTCAGAGATGGGTTTACAATGGGAAACAGCGTAATAAAGTTCCATTTTTCAACATGCAGGGTTTCAGCTCTACAAATCGCTAGGATCAAATGCATGTGTTCATGTATTCAGCCCTCTTTAAATTTTGTTATAAATTTATCAAATTTATATAGTAACCCACCTCACCAAATCAATTCTGGGCAGCATACAAATAATTTGATAAAAACAACAGAGGTAAAACTCAAATATAAAATATAAACATCCATATTAAAACAAATAATAGAAGCCGGAGATATAAACCATAGGTAGAAGAAGAAGGCTAAACATGGCCATCTCAACAATGGAGCCAAGCAAATCTAAGCTAGGTTACCTGGAAGTCCCAGGCCTGATAACATAGTCAGGTGTTGAGAACTTTTTGGAATATCAAAAGGGGCAGAGCTGATCTAATTTGGGGAGGGGGAATATTCCATGAAATGGGCACAACAACAGAGAAAGTACATCTCCTGGGACCCACCAAATGTAGGTTCATAGCCAATGGTCCCTATGCAGCATACCTACTCTGCCAGATCTGATAGGCTGATATAACAAGGCTGATAAATTTAAGTACAGACAACAGTCTGAGTGTACAGAAAATATTTATCCCAATGCATTATAAGAGTTCAACAGCAGGCTCTGACGAACAAATGTCAACAAATCACACACACACACACACACACACATCTATATATATATACAGATTTTCTGCTGAATGCCAGTTGTAAATCACAGACTTAATCATAACTGCACATTCCCACCCTCACCTTCACCCCATGTTAGATTTTAAATTGAGCAGGGATATCTTTTTTCACATACTGGCAACTACAACATAGAAGTAAATGAAGGACTGACATTTTTTTCATGATTCCAGAACAGCAGTAAGGAAACTGATTCAGGCCTGCCCTATCTCTTCTGCATTTATGAATATTGATCTAATACATCTGGAGGACTCAGGTTTGGAAGACTGCATTAAAGAATCCGCACTCCAGTGACCTTCACACCACAACAGCATATGTCAATTAGCTAAATCCAGGCCTCCACAGACACAGGGCCTTGTTTGAGCTCTACCATTTCTTCACCTCTCTCCAAATAGCATCCTATTTTTGTCAGAAAGATTGCCTAAAGCAGCCCGAACGACAGAGGTTGGCAAAAGGGCCGGTCCTCTATCATATGTTATTATTCTGCCAATGACAGATAACGCTCTACAATGGTCTGTCTATTGGGGGAGCAGGAGAAAAATGGAATCATGCTCAAGGAATGTTACAGGGCAAGACAATCATGGCAATCCCATTAGATGGAAGAGGGAAGGAAGGAGCGATGCTTTTGAATCCACCCCACCCCACCCCCGGAAGAGAAGCGAAGAGGATCGGGAGGGAACACACCTTCCAAGGGAGGCAAAAACCACCAGGTCTCCATGGTGACCACAACATTAGAAAAGAGAGGCCAAAAGACGATGGAGAAGCATCAAGACTGTCTCGTTTCCATGGCGACAGGGCCCGGGCTGTCTATTATGGGGTGCCTGCGGAAAAATCAGCAGCCGGGGAAGAGCTGCAATCCGAAAGGTTTCGGGACAGTTGTATCAGGATCGTACCTGAAGCGGCTCCCGGTTTCGCGGGGATGCCGGTGGTGGTGGTTGTGCTGGCGGCGGCGGCGGCGGCAGCGAGAACATCGGAAGGAAAAAAAGAGGGAGGGAGGCGGAGTCCGGATGGCTTCAGCCCGGCGGCGGCGGCGGCGGCGCATGCGGGCGTCTCCATTCCCATCCTCTGGGCGCGCCAAGGAAGATCGGAGGCTCAGTAGGAGGGAGTGAGCGAGCGAGGTGGAAGTTAGGAGTAACTACAATCGTGGTTGCGCGCCTCCCCGAAATAGTGACAGCAGATAAGCCAAGGAACAGATCCCGAGAGGGACGGGCATGATTCACCAGGCTACAAGTTATGCATATTCCTCTTAAAATTATTTTCACCTTTGGGTGAATGGCCGCCCTCCGGAGGAAAACAGGGAAGCACGATCTTCTACATGATCTACGATCTACTTACACGATCTATACACTACTCTTTGCCTATCGACGAAGTAGAGCAGTCACAGTGGTCCACACCTGAGAAATGCCAAGCTTTACATGCAAACACAAAGATAGATAGATATCAGGGAGCCAACCGTGGTAAGCTACTTCCGCAAAGCTTGGCAGAGATCGCACTTGAGACCGCACGATCTCACAAGGAACTTACTGAAATTTCCTCCAGCCTCGAATGTCACAGCTACTGCCACTCGGGTTACTCTTCTTCTTCTCCAGTGTCCCAGCCATGGCTGGTTCAGATTCCAGGGAAAACCACACTCCCTGCTAGGTTGCAATCTGCGCCTTTATAGAGAGGGTGGAGTTGTTTTCAAAATACCGGGAGAAAAAGAAGCCCAACTTCATTCCTCATGTATCTTCTGTCTTGACTGGAGTACCCGACTAGCTCTATTAAACTACAGCTCCACCCATCCTGTTTTAAGTGAACCACTCCTTTTCCCACTCTTTCAGAAACACAGTCAGTCTCATTGCTTTTCAGCATTTATCCGCCAGCATTTTAGATCCTCAGAAAGGCAAAGGTATAACTAAAGTTTACACATTGTGTCTTAGAGTCAAAAACTGAGTTCAATGCTTATTTTCCAGCAAGAAGAAACATGGAGAGCCAGTAATTCCATGCCCTTTTGACAGGGAGTAAACCAGATTCTTCCAAACAGATCTCCTAGGGCTAAGCACTTCCACCCAGCCTTTATGGGATTTGCAGTCCACAGTACATAGAGAACAGCTGATTGAGGAAGTCTGAAACTTAACGCATGCTTTGATTATATACAACTGGGGACTTTAAAACTATACGTACAGCTGAGTTGTATGTAAAATGTGGTTTAGATCAGGGGTCTCCAACCTTGGTAACTTTTAAGACTTGTGGACTTCAACTCCCAGAATTCCTCAGCCAGCTTTGCTTGGTCTCCAGGGGCGGACCTATCTTCTGGGCGGGGCCTATTAGCCTTTCGAGCTCGGATTGGTGAGTTCGGCGGGACGCTCTGGGAAGAAGAGTCATTGAAAAAAAGGCGGGAAGTTCTAAACAATGAGTCGATCGTCCGTGGACGCTGCGGTTGGAGAAACGATGGAGGCGGAAGCGACAGCGGTGGAGTAAGTACACGTATCTCTTTCACGTGGAGATCGAATGACGGTTCCCTGTTTTCCTGGAGGGGGAGGAATTTTACCCGAAGTAGGGGAAAAAAATCAAAAGCAGTGCTATTGCAACCATGGCAATTTCAAGATGTGTGAAGTTCGGCTCCCAGAATTCCCAGCCAGGAATTCCCGGCTGACAATTCTGGGAGTTGGAAATCCGTAGATCTTGAAGTTCCCAAAGTTGAGAAGCATTGATAAGCTTGCAGAAGAAAGGCCGGAAGAGTTAGGCAATTTTAGGTTGTGGGCTTAGAGGGCTTCCGTTCTTCTATGTCTGGTTTCCATATATATACTCCTGCCGCATTTGGGAGCCTTCCTTCCTTAGTAAGATTATGGAGATTGGCACCGAAATATCGTTGGGATCACCTCCCTTAGATAAGGAGATATTGAAACTTCTAGCACCAGAATACAGATATGGAGTTTCATAACTTTGATACTTGATGGAACTTTAAAAAAAAAACACTTCCTGTAGAAAAATAAAAATCCTGGGGTCTTGTGAATAATACTTCCTCCTATTTTTAGAACAGGAAGAATTCTTTAATATTCTTTGAATCTTTAAAATAATCCTGTTGCAGAAGAAAAAAAGCCAACATCTCCATTAAAATCTTTACAAAATTTCTTGCAGAAACTACTTTTTTAAAAAAAATCAAGCATCAGTTATATTAGGTTTATTTTGCTTCCATTACATTCATCTAATTAAATTAGTATAATTTAATCCTCTTAAAATTACAGCATTAATATTTTGGTATTCTCTTCTTGCAATAGCTTTGGGATTGTTAAGTGGCCTCAAAACTGTTTTTTCCACCTATTTTCACAATGAGATACAGGTAGCATTTTGTAAAAATGAGAAACGCCACAATTATAAAGGAAAAGATCTCTTTGATTCTTCCAATCAGCAGTCTTCCAATATTTGAGGGGCTGTGACCAAGAAGAGGGGGTCAAGGTATTCTCCCAAGCACCTGAAGGCAGGACAAGAAGCAATAGATGGAAATTTATCAAGGGAAGATTCAACTAAAAGAACTAAACAGAAATTTTCTGGCAATGAGATAAATTAATCTTAAGAGATTAGATCACCATTTGTCCAGAATATCCTCTTGTGCAGGGAGTTGGAATAGAAGACCTCCAAAGTCCCTTTCAATTCTGATATTCTGTATTCTGATATTTTTCCAGTTGTTTGTGAAAAACAGTTTTAGCTACTGCATTTTTAAAAAAAATATGTTAATCCATTTTTTTTAATAGAGCGAGTCTGCCTCAGAAGCTGGCTGGGAGTTTCACAATGACATTGGGAATAAGGACAGACAAGTTTCCTTGTTGCATATGCTTAGTACATTGTGCAGTCACCGGATAGTGTAAATTATATTCTAGATTTTGCTTTCAGTTAGAATGTGGCAAGCGTGACATCTAATGCACGAGAACAGTAGTAGACAATCGGCATGGTTTTTCCCAGCTCTCTTTTTGACTTCCTCAGAGGTTCCTCTGGCCATAATTGCTGAAAACTAACAGCACATTTTCCTGCCATATTAATGCATGAGGACATATTACAGTTTTAAATCCTCAAGTAGATAAATCACAGAAATCCTGCCTCACCCACATATGTGATGAGGTGCCATACACTATATGGCCTTTGTTTCCATATGTAAAGGATGGTGATTGTATAGAACAAGGGTCTTCAAACTTGGCAAGTTTAAGACTTGATTTCAGCTCCCAGAATTCTTGAGCTAACATGACTAGAGGAGGAATTCTGGGAGTTGAAGTCCACAGGTCTTCAAGCTGTCAAGTTTGAAGACCCCTGGTATAGAGAATCCCCATAGCAAATTTTTAAGAGATTTAAAGATTTGAAGTGACTATTTTCTTTATATCATTCATTTATATGTCCTCTTCAGGCTTCTATCTCAGATCAATGATATTTTAAAGTATGAGGATCAAACCACAAGTGAAATGAAATTGGAATTACCCGCCCAAGTCTTGGCTGAGCACACAGTGGTGAGTGATAGCCTCTTTTTCCTTTAAGATATTGTCTTCAGTTCTGGATGAATGACCGTGGCCAAGTTTCGTAAGGGCTAGTTCCATTCCCACTTTTGGAACATGTTTTCCAGAACACTAGGAAGACTCAGAAGTTGATGTACACCCAACTCCAAGTGCTTAAATTCCTTCTGGATTTTCTTGACTCTGCCCCTCGCATCCAGGATGCCTCTGACTCTACTGTTCGTGAGTATCCGGGCTCAGCAGATTGCATGCAGTGGGTGATGCAGATGTGGTCTGGATAAGAGTGTTTCTGTTTGACAATAGCATGTTAAAAATGAAGCCTTTCAAGACAATTTTGGAGGACTAGGAAAGGTTTTGAGCAAGTTGTGTGTACTTTTATTCAACTGTTGTGCGTTCACATATTATACATGTTGATTTAACCCTGACTAAATGAACATCCAATCCTTCCTGGAAGATTGGAAGCATGTCTGTGAGAAGATCCATTCTGGATCAGACGACAGGCTTCTCTCGTTCAAAATTTTGTTTCTTTGCCGGCCAGTCAAATCCTTTTGTGAAGTCCCAAGCAGTCAAGAAAGCAGTAGCATTCTACCCAGCAAACTGAGAAATGTACTGCTTCCGTTATCAGAAATATTTTATTTTTTTTATTTTATTTGTCAAGCAATTATAAGATAACAGGTATAAGTATAAACATAGTTATGGATACATGAAATGGATACATATAAGAAAAATAAAAAAGAAACAATAGGACAGGGACAGTAGGCACGTTGGTGCGCTTATGCACGCCCCCTACAGACCTCTTAGGAAAGGGGTGAGGTCAATAGTAGACAGTCTAAGGTTAAAGTTTTTGGGGTTTGGGGAAGAAACCACAGAGTCAGGTAGAGTATTCCAGACATTGACCACTCTGTTGCTGAAGTCGTATTTTCTGCAGTCAAGTTTGGTGCGGTTTACCTTGAGTTTATATCTATTGTTTGCTCTTGTATTGTTATGGTTGAAGCTGAAGTATTCATTGACAGGTAGGACATTGCAATGTATAATTTTATATACTATACTTAGATCGGACTGAAGGCGGCGTAGTTCTAGGTTTTCTAGGTCTAGAATTTCAAGTCTGGTGGCATAAGGTATTCTGCAATGAGTAGAGAACTCTTCTTGTGAAATATTTCTGGACTTTCTCAACTGTGTTAATATCAGATACGTAATGCGGGTTCCAGACTGATGAGCTGTATTCAAGTATTGGTCTAGCAAATGTTTTGTATGCCCTAGTTAGTAGTGTAATATTACCAGAGAAAAAGCTACGTAATATTAGGTTAACAACTCTTAATGCCTTTTTGGCTATGTAGTTACAGTGGGCTCTAGCACTTAGGTCATTAGAGATGAGTACTCCAAGGTCCTTGACAGAGTTTGGATCATCAACAAGGTCTTGACTATTCAGCTTGTATTTTATTTTCTGATTTTTTTTTACGGAACTACATGACAGGCCTCAATAGCCCCATCTTGTTAAGAATGTTATTTTCCACCAATGTATCTCTCTTGGTTATGGGTAGTTTGAAAACCCCAGCTGACATCTGGATGCTCCTGAGCTACTTCAGTGCTCAAAAACAGATGGTGGTCTCTTGCAGGGAAAGAGATGGAAGAAGCCAAAAAGCAATGGAAGGCACTCAAAGCAGATTACCAGCAGCAGGTAGAGGCTATCAAGGGGGCTGTGCCTCAGATACTGGCCAAACAGGAGGAGGTACAGAGCCGGGCTCGGCTTTTGGAGGAGGCTCTGCAGCGCTACCAAGCAAAGGTTCTATTCTCACTTGCGAGTGATATGGGGGGGGGGGGGGGGGGGGAGG